TGATTTATAAGTCTATGACAATGTTTTTATGATAAATTGGTTCTTTATTTATTTATTATAGCGTTTCTTACTGATCGGCGCCCGCGGGTTAAGTGTTACAATGTGCAGTTGGCCAGACCTTATCAAAAAGGTCCAAAGCAAAAAATTGTTTTTTTTTTTGTAATTAATATACATACATAAGTGAAAAATAATGTGAACTTTATAATGCAGTTGATCAATTTTTTATAGCCTTTAGTATACCTTAAATCAAAAAGTTGTTTAAATACGTAGAAAAAATGTGAATTATCTGAAAACATTGTCAATACTTTCCGAACAAATCTATCAATGTGGATCTTTCATTATTTTTTATATTTACCTTTATTTTAATGGTTATTTCAAAAAACAGCGGTTTACACTTTTTCACTGTTTCTTATCATTTAAAAAAACACTTTTTTCACAATTTTAAATACATAAAAAAAACTTTTCCGTACTGGATCAAACTGTTCGATGTACCATGGTAGAAAGAAATCAACTTAAAAATATACTTACTAGGGTGGTGCTTAAAACAACTTTTTTGAGAAAAACCTGCTGGTACCCCCTAAATGTGTTTTATCTAATACAAAAACACTAGGTTTAAAATTTTTTTGAACAAAAAATATTTTTAGGGGTAGCTCAAGGCCCTCAAAAATTTGACGGGTCCCTAATATTTTGAAAAAAAAAACTTTTTCTAAAGTATGTCAACCTGGTACTCAAAATAAGCAAAATTATATAAAAAATTTAAAAATGAAAATAATTTTTTATAAAAATAATTTTTTCAGGTATAAATGCATAAAAACTATTGTTTTTAAGCTGAAAATAAAAAAAGTCAATATTTTCAGGTTTTTTGAGAATAATTTTTTTTAAGCATGTTTTTTATGTAAAATGATTATTATTTTTGAAGTTTTTATATAATATCGCTTCTTTTGAGTACCAGGTTGACATACTTTAGAAAAAGTTTTTTTTTCAAAATATTAGGGACCCGTCAAATTTTTGAGGGCCTTGAGCTACCCCTAAAAATAATTTTTGTTCAAAAAAATTTTAAACCTAGTGTTTTTGTATTAGATAAAACACATTTAGGGGGTACCAGCAGGTTTTTCTCAAAAAAGTTGTTTTAAGCACCACCCTAATACTTACGCACTTTAACTTATATTTGATAAAAAGGTTGATAAAGAGCGCAAACCTTCTCACCTCCACTTTTCTTACGCAGCAGTTGGCCGCTGCCATCAAATAAAGTTTTAGGGGCAAAATGTTTTTCCATCCACTTCAAGTGTCTATTGGTATAGCCAGAGTATTTTTTATGGAGACTAAATGTTTTGCAGGACCGAATATCCGCTTGGATATTGGGTCGATGCAAGGCCGTCGTCCGTATATTGAATAAACTTAATAATTTTTTTTTTTATTATTAAAAATAAAAGATTAAAAATAAAGTTTGATTTTACAAAACAAAACATGTAGGATAGAGTTGCCTTAATTGGAACACTTAAGGAGTAAATATTTATTACCCAAAGATGGCTTAACTATGAAAACATAAATGATTTGATTAATACAAACAGAAATCCCCACTATACTTTTAACCACAATTTGACTTAATTGATTGCACTGTTATTGGAAACAAATTTGTTTTTGCAAATTTACCATTTTTTTCCAATCAAGGCAACTGGTTCCCTAAATTTGAACACTTTGATTCCTTCATCAGAGCAGGTTATTTTTTTAAAAGAAAAGTAAAATCAACAAAAATTTGTAAAAAATGATTTTCATCTTTGCAGTAAAAATTTAAACAGTAAACTCAAAAATTATTATAGGATAAGTATTATCCTGATAAATTTAGTCTACAAACAAAAAATTGTATAAATCTTCAACTGTTATGACGCTCTCTATATTTATTGATTAAAAATCACTAAATAAAATATTATTTTTTAAGGTTTATGGTTGTTTCTAAGTATTTTTTTAATTGCACTCGAAATACTCTCACAACCCTTTGATTTTATTACTGATTAGGTAAGGAAAACTTCAACGGTCCAATCAAGGAAACTTTCGACTATTTTGTTATATCGCTACAATAACATGCTTGCAGCAACTTATAAGATAAGTTTATATTGTTATTTTGCATTTTAAATCCCATCGAATTAAACTCAAAAAACGGTATAATCTGTAGCACCATAGTTTACCCATCGCAAATCAATAAGTGTGAACACAAAATTAGATCGCTGAAAAAAAATGACGCAAAAAAAACTTTAGTCTGTGGTACAAACGCATTTTTATTGTATTTACTTTAGTTATAAATGGTGTAGAAGGAATTAAATAAATTTTAATGTCTCATCAATTTACAGAAAGAGGAAGACCTAGAGTAAAAAAATCTGGTGGATCCTTCTGGACAAAAAAAAGTAAAGTTTATTCTTGACTTGTTATTTTGTCTCAATTGTCTGTGTTTGACACAAGTGAAGCTTTTGTGCTGTTATGGGTTGTGCTTTTGTGGGTTAATAAGAGACTTTCATCATATTGGTACTGCAAACATATTCAATTTACATATGGTAAAGTGAACAAAGAAGTTATTGTTTAGGAGCTAATCCTTATAAAAGGACAGGAACTTGTAAATAACTCTAGATGATAATATTGTTATTAAAATCAACTAGAAACAACCGTGGTGGGTGACAAAATAACAACAGTCCTCAATAATGTAACCATTTCAACTTTGTTTTGCTCGTGTAGCGTGTTTTTAAGTTTAAATTAACCTCTCTTTATAAATTTTAAACTTAATGTTAAAAGATAAATAAATTTTTTTTAAGGATTATTCTGTTTCCGTTGAAGTATTGGATGTTAATGAGCAGCTAAACAAACAATTGTATATCATATTATGTACATTTTCCTGTAATCAAAGAATTAAACCCGTATGCTCTGGAGATCTACTACAAGAAGACAGTCGACCGTTTTACACTTTGCATTATATGACTATACACCTATACACCTTGCATTATATGTCCCTATATATACTATACACCTTGCATTATACTATACATATATACTATATACCTAACTATACACCTTGCATTATATGTCCCAGGGTTTACACAAATTGTTCGCACTAAAAGTTTATGTGTTTGTAAACTTTCTGAAGAAGCACAGGAAAACAGAAACATAGTATAAGATGGTAAAAATATTACAAATTTCAAACTTAAGTATTCTCTTGCTTATATCAAACTAAAAAATATTTCCTTAATAGAACATTTTGCATTATAACTTGATATAATAAATGTAATGGTTATTAACGGTTCTCATCCTGTGGATCGTGAACCCAGTGGGGTTGCCTGATAATTTGCTAGGGGTTGTCATTAAAACTTCAGAAAATAAATTTTTTACGTCAGTCAGTGGTTTTTCTTTATTATTTTAAATCTAAGCGGTATCTCTACTCTGACAACAGAAAATACAACGAATCGACGTACAATAATATGATTCATTCTACAGATGGTAGGAGCCTATATAATTAAATAAGACGTTTAAATTTTTGCAACTTCAACTCTTTTTACGAAATTACTTACGTAATTAGTGACGTAAAATGAAATCATACCTTGTTTGCGAAAAAACAGTGTTTTCAGCAATCAATAAAGTTATTCAAGCACGAGCTTCATGTTCTTTAATTGTAAAACCCAACTAAACTGGAGTTGTCAAAAATGGGGAAAACGCTGATTTCGCCAACCCCAGATTTCACTAATATCTAAATTTTATTTTACTTTAAGTATCCAGGTTACACAAGTTCTAATTAAGGTTTAAAAAAACTATCGTGTCCACTGCGTCGGGGTGCCAAAAATGCTCGCCGTCAAATAACCACATGGCCATCAGTCGAGAAAATGCATTCTGTTGGCACTGAAGTTGCAGGTACACACATGTACTTGCGCGCTAAAAGAACATAACTTTACTATTTGGAAAAAAAATATGTTGCCAATAAAGTATATAATAAATTAGAAATATATAAAGTATATAATAAAATCAGATATTTAAAAAATCAAAAAGCATAAAAGTTAGTTGCAAAAATGCAGTGATTTAGGAGTCACCATATTAATTTTATTGTTTGAGTTGCAAACGGCAACGGAAAAGTTGTCAATCGCTGCTTTGAAGAATCTTGCAAATATGACTAAAATATTTTCAAGAAACTTTCACATATAGTTGAAGTATTGGATGCAAATGTTTATAAGTAAATGAGTGCAAACGTTCAATATTGCTAAAATCATCTATATGAAGTAAATATACGTTTTTTTTAGCATTTTAAAATATTTATACATATTTTTTTAGCATTTTAAAATATTTATACATATTTTTTTAGCATTTTAAAATGTTTATACATATTTTTTTTGCCAAAATAAATTAAGATTAGTTTAAATAAAGTTAAAAATTTTTTAAAAGTTTTCTTATTTTAGTTATAAATTTTAATAATAATAGTTATATAAATTTTTAAATCAATTTTAGATTGGAGCATGCCTAAAAGCTTTGGACTTGTTTAGTTTCTAAAATTCAAGTTTTGAATATTTGAAAAGTTTCAAAAGTTCAAAATCCTTTCAGGCATACTCAAGAGTACCAACCGAATCTTTTTGTTTGTCTGTCTGTAATAGTATCATTTTTTTATATAAATATTTCAAAAGCTCAGTTTCAAAAAACTTTAAGAAAAACTTGAGGGTTTAAAAACTTAGAGATTTTTACATATTGCTGAAGAGTTACAATACTGTTGACTTTAGCTACTGATTATCTTGGGATAATTTTTTAATGCTCGTAGCACTTTTACAAACAAGAAACCAACCTTGCTATAATTGACTTGAACAAAAATAGTTTCCTCTACATGTATTGTTCAAATGGCTATTGTTCTAGTCACTAATTATAGCGACGTTGAAATTCTTGTTTGTGAAAGCGCTTTGAGCATTAAAAAAATTCTACTGTTACTTAAAGCATTTCTTAATAGTCACGCTTGAGTGAAATTCGCGGCGATAGGCGCTTGTCGGTTCATCGAAGTCTTAATAAACATCAAAACAAAATAAACATATACCTTGGCATTGTTTTGCTGCCAATACAACACGCAAAATATGACAAAAGTATAGTTGATATTTATTTTGTATACCATGAAAATAATTTATGTTTTTCCTATTATTTTGCTGGTTTTGGAATCAAGGGCTATTGACACGCGCCAGGAAAAAAGAACAAAAAAAAGTAAAGTTTATAGAACTTTTGAGCACGAGCACAAATTCAATCAGTTGGATAGCGCAAGTATTAAATCTGATCTAAATAAAAAAGAAAAAAAAACTTTCAGCACGTTCGAAAAAACTCCATCAAAATATAGCGATATACCTCATAACGCAACTAATCAAATAACCGTAACCGCCGTAGGAAATAGTAACAACAATAATTTAAGCAGAAAAGAACACACTACGAGTAATTTTACTAACTTTAATAACAGTTTAAGGCACAACAATAAAAATGATCTTAAACCAAACAAGACTGGATCTAAACTTAAGGAAAACAAAGGGTTTAAAATTCTTAAATATAACCAAACTAACGCTGGTTTGAAGGAAGCAACACAAGGACTAGTGCATAAAGACCTAAAAGAAACTGCAGAAGAACTTCAGAATAGAAACAGAGAAGTGCTTCAAAAACAAATCTTAAATAGTTCAATAACTAATGTTGGCATTCCATTTACACTAAATGGTAGCAGTACAAAACCCAATTTTAAAAGTGTGAAAAATGATCAGAAAAACTCTAAAAAGTATTTTAAAGCAGGTGCTTTAATCATTACTGATGATAACAAAGTTCAACAAGCAAAATTTGTGGACCTTCATTCAAATAACAAAACAAAAGCAACAGCCCAAACAGTGAACAACGTATCTTCCCAAACAGCGAGCAACGACTCTTCTGTTTCGAAAAGTAACACTTTTAAAAATGGCGCTCAAATTACACGTGTGCATAAACTACAGTCTATAAATAACACACACCTAAATAAGAAACCTGTTCAACGCGAAAAAATTATCAGAACCGTAAAATACGATGAGAAAGCCGAGTTTCCCAAAAGCCAAACAAATGAGGTAGCGGGAAACAATTTGCTACGGGATATCGGTTTTAAAAAAGCAAAATTTCTCAAGAATAAATTTACAAAAGCAAAAACTAATATTGTGAAGAAAATTAAATCTAAGCAGAAAAAAATAAATGCACGGCATCACGAGCGAAAGAAAGACAATAGGTAATGTGGTTAATATTAATATCGCATATAATTAAAATAAATTAATTTGTTGTATGTATCTCTTTAAACTCCAAAAATGTTAGTGTAACATGTAGAATTTTTATTTTTAGAACGTTTTTTTTTAATTTTTAGACTTTCATTTTTAGAATTAATATTATGGTTATCAACAATAACAATAATAATAATAATAATATATAATAATAATAACAATAATAATAATAATAAAATTATTGTTATCAATAATAATAATTGCTTATGATGATCAGATCTAAAAGTTAAGGTATATGAAATTGATCAAAAAGCATTAAACGAAAACAAAGTGGCAAGTTATAGGTATGAAGGTTCAAGAGCAGTAACTAAGAAATAGCAAGAAGGATAAAATTTTTAGAGAATCATGATTAAGATACTCTGATAAAATTTATAACAACAAGTAGCTTTCAACACCATGCAGGATCAGGAAAGTTAAAAATAACTAAATTGCCTCAAAATGCTCAAAATACAAATAGATTTAAGTCTGAACAGCATATTAATTATTTAGTTGTACTGAGGTTGCAAAATGACTATAAGAATGTTGATATTTAGTGCTGGTTTAGTTTTAATGGAGTATATGTGTGTAAACTTTATCCAGGCTAAATCAACAAAAAATCTATACGTAGAACTGCATAGTTCCATCAGTAGACATGATGGTTGATCAAAGTGAATAGTAGCATTTTTAACAAAATTGCACCTGCCCACACAGTTTGTAAAATCTGGCCAACTTGATTGCCAGATGTGAATCCAATTAATACTATTTGGGCTTGGATGAGGAAAGGGGAAGAGGTAAAGAAAGAAAGTTAGTTGAGGTGAAAAACCTATTGTTGGCAAAAAATAGTAATATTTTAAGAAGGTATTGCCATATTATATCCTCAAAGGTATTTAAAATTAAAAAAATCATATATTAGTTGCTTCATGCAGAAGGGAATATATCAGCTTCTATGTCAACTCTCAGGTGCAAAGTTTACTGCATACATTTACTATATTCTTTAATATATATATACATTCATTTACACAGTTCTTTATTTTAGTATGTGTCATTAATGGTTTTTAGTTCAAGGCTAAGTACTCAAAGATATTTGTGTATGTATTTATATATAATAAAAATTTTTAAGTAACTTAAAAAACATAAACAACTAAATAGTTAAAAAAGATTAACTTAAAATATTAGCTATAAATAAACTAAAAAGTATTAATGAAGTGTACTTTCATGTGCAAATCTTTTTTTAAATTTAAACTGAAAGCGGAACCTTGTTTAACATAAAGTCGCTGCATAGTGAAATAGGTTATTTGCAGTACTTCAAGAGGTGTTGGGTGGATTTGAACCTCAAACTACTTGACTGTAAGGTGATTATATTTTACCACTATTACCGCTACTAGATTTTTTGTAGCATTTGTAAATGCTACAAAAAATCTAGTAGCGGTAAGTTTATTTACCTGTCCTGAAATTGTAGCAATAATTTACAATAATCCAATAATAATAAATATTAATTTAATAGTTAATTAAAATAAAATAATTAAAAATATTAATTTTGTAATACTTTTTAATAGAAAATTGTCTAGTAAAGCTGACGAAAAAAGAGAAATATTTTTGAATGAGCGTATTGGGCATTTAGCAGAAAGAGATAGGAGTGTAGAAGAAGAGGAAGGAAGTGATCGAAAATATTTTTCTGGAAAATCAATTGATAGATTGTTTTCAAAGTTTGGTTTAAAACCACAATTCAATAAAAAGCCTCATTTAACTTCAGGTAATTTAGATTGTTAAATTTCAGGGGATAATTAAGTTTTCATAAACTGTATATCTGAAATTATTGTTGGTCTTCAAATTTACAATTTATTAAAAACTATAAACTTTGTTTTTATGTATATATATTTTTTGGATATGTTTACTTTTTTAATTATTGTATTATTTGGTTTTTATTTTTCTGGTTTTACCTGATTTTAATATGTTGATTGTTAGTATGAATCAAACTATATTGAAGTTATATTTAACTAAATTAACATTTAAATCAACAGTTTTTATATTTTATAATTTTTAAAAATTTTAAGATTAAAGCATAAATATTTTTTATTTAAAAAATATAATTTTTTTTAATAATTTTATATAACATAAATCAAATTTTCAAAAATATTGTTCATTGTTTTTTTTTATTACACCACAAACCATGCTTCTTTTTCTTTCAATAAAAAATAATAAATTATAATTTAAAGTTGAACATTATGTTGTTGTTTTTTTTAATTTTAAAAAAAGCAGAGGGGGAAGGAGGTTTAAATAAAAGCATATGTATGATTTATGGATGATCCTTAAGTTGTCTTCACAATAAATAAGTAGTCTTGTTTTCCCTTAGCTACTTTTTAATTAATCAAATAATAATCAAATATAAATTTACATTTTTAAAATTTAACTTTTCAAATTAATTTAGATTTTGTTTAAATTTCTTGCTAGATTAATAAATCTCAAGATTATCTTAAAATTATGACACTTGGATTAATTTAAAATTATTTAAACAATTTGTTATAATTTAAAGTTTAAAAAAGTTTTTTTAGTAACTATTTATAAAATAAATAATTAAATAACTGAAAATTTGAAGAAAAATTTTCAAGATATCATAACTCAATTTACCCCCATTTCAATTTACCCCCTTGTACTTGATTTTAATAGGTTTAATTTATTCAAATTTATTTAAACTTTTTTCTTATTTTTAGATAAAGATGATATTGAGGATGAGAGTGAGGCTGAACATTCATTACTTTCATTAAAGAAACTGAAAGATAATGAAGGTAAAAATTTCTCTATAGAAAATTTGTTTGCAATTCTAACAATATAGGTCAGATTTATGTATTTAAAAAGTTATTTCCTGAAAATGAAAATAGAAAATACAAAAAAAACCCTGGAATATAATCAAAGATATAATTGGTAAAAATATATTGGTTAAAAACAAAAAATGTTAATAGAGAAAAAACTTGTTTATGATAAAGAAACCATAGCCGAAAAACTAAACAAATTTTTTTTTGAGGTCTTTTTTGAGGTTGGTTGAAATCTAGCGACTAAAATTCGAGCAAGTACCATAAAATTTGAAAATGGCTAAAACTATCAATACAGAATATATATATTTTTTGCTTTAGACGGAGTGTTTTTTTTTGTGTAAAAAATGGGAATAATGATAAAATTTAGTTTATTTTATTTTAGTGGTCAATAATTTAAAACTTAACATTCAAGTCTAACGAGTATATTCTTTTTAGTATTATGGTCCATTTTAATCAGAATATTTGCTTTATAATACAATTTAATGCATTTTTATAAAAAACAATAATATTAAAATTCTTAAGTTCTACTCTTGGTATCTTGTTCCTGTTTGACATATATATAATACAAACTGTGTGTTAATAATAATAATTTTAAAAAGAACAAGCAGACCTACTCATTAATTAGCTTGATAAATATATTTAGAAGGATATGTTCGCTAAAGTGCACAAAAAATCAACATCTAAAATATTTTGATGTAGTTTTTTATTAATTTTATTGGTGAAAATTTTCACAAAGATATGTCATGAATTAAAAAAAATCTTTTTCTTACTAATCCAGAACTTCACTAAAATATTTTTTCAAACTGATTTTTCAATTTTAAAAATAAGTTAAATGGGTCTCATCAAATTTTACAATCTGATTTGTTTTACATATATGAATGTATACTGTTAGATGTACATACATAAACCTATTTAAATTATATTTTTTATTTTTTATATAAAACTATTAATGTTTTATATAAAAACTCTTGAATAATTATCAAATTTTTTGTAATATTTGTATCATTTTATGTTTAAAATTTGGCACAATCTTTGTGAAGCTAAAGGTTATTGAGTTTTTAGTTATCCAGTCTTACTTTTTTAGTTGTTTATAAAGTGTTAGTTATCTTTTACTGAAAGTTTTGTTTACATAGATTAATTAATAAAAAACTACGTTAATTGAACAAGTGTACAACTATTGTAATTTGCATCCTAACGCTATAACAAAGAGCACTGTAGAGTATTTTGTTACCTTTAATCACCCTGAAAGAACCATCAAATGTATGTATATCGCAAAGTGGAAGAACAATAAGCCAAAGTCTGGTAAAACAGAAAACCAAAAATTATGACTGCTAGGAACATCAATCGCCTAAAAGGTCTTTTGAACAACCGGTCTGGAACTTCAACAAGAAAAATTGCAAATAAATTCAAGTGTGATCATTCTTACATTGTAAAAACATTAAAAAATAAAACAAACATTTGTTGTTTTAAGAAAAAACGAATCCCTGATCGCACTGATAAACAGTTAAAGCAGTTGCAACTGAAGTGTTGAAGTGTGAAGTGTCATGGTTTCTGAATTTGTTGCAACTTCAGAAACCGTGACTTTGTCATTGAGGATGAGTCTTATTTTACATTTAAACATACAAATAAAAATTCCAGTGCTGGATTTTTCTCAAATGAAGCAAAAAATGTAAAATTTAAGTGCAAAAGCAAATTTGAAAAAAAATATTCTTGTGTGACTTACCATATCCCCTTGTGGAATCTCAAAACCATTTATTGTTTCTGCAAGACTGGCAATTAACCAACAGTGAACAAAAATGATTGCATCATCAAATGATAAATTCCTTTTATCATCAAATATCACAGCGATGGTAATTATGTGTTCTTGCCTGACTTGGTCTCTTTACATTATGCTAGAAGTGTGACCAATTTCCTCAATGAGAAAAGTATCCCTTATTTAACAAAAGTTGATAATCCGGCAAGTGTCACAGAATTACGACCAATAGAAAATTTCTGGTCAATCCTTAAATGTTACATCTATGAAAACAATTGGGAAGCTGTAAATGAAGATCAGCTGCGAAAAAGAATCCATTTTTGTTAAAGAAAAATTGATAAAAATCTTGTACAAGGCATGTGCAAACATGTATACAAAAAAGTTGACGCAGTACTTCATAATGTTGACGCAGTGCTTCATAATGTTGACGCAGTACTTCATAATGTTGACGCAGTGCTTCATAATGGCAAGAAAGCATTATTTCAATCCTGAAAGTAAAAAACTAATTTCTTAATATTTTGTACTAATTTTTTGTTCATTAAACTTTTTGTTGTACTATGCTTGTGTTTATTTTGTGCCAAATTTTTGTCACCAGGGGTTACGTAAACATTACTGCTTTAGTCTAAAATAAAAATCAATTTTGTCTGATTTTTTTCAGTTTCTTATTTTCATTAAAAATTTTAAAATTTTTAAAAAACTTAAAAAGAAGCCTCAAAGGTTGAATCTTGCATCGAAGTAAGATGCAATATTTTCTTTTGTTATTTAAATCTTGAAGTCTTTGGGATGCTAAAATCTTGTTTTCTCACATAGTGAAGTAAATTATGTGGAGTACTTTTTTCTTTTATAAAGTTAAGTGTTTATAAAATTTAATTGGGTCTATAGATTTTCATTTTCTTTTAATTTTGATGCAACATTAAAAATGCAAAAAAATGGTGTAAAACTGTTCAATTTTTTTAAAATTAAAATGGTGTAAAACTGTTATATTTCATCATACTTTTATTGCACCATTTTTATTAAAAAAAAAAAATTAAAAGTAAAAAAAAAGAGTTTAAAGGGGTTTGAAAGGTTTTATTAGTTAGGCATTCTTTAAACAATGTAATGTATCTTTTATTTAATAGTTAGTTAATTTTAATTGTATTTTTATACTGCGTTTAATTTTCATGTTACTAACTAAACATTGCCTTCGGCAATGTAAATGCTTATCTTGATGTGATGCCATAAATGATGCCATAGATGGCATTTATTTATATATATTTTTTTATTATTTAGATTTCTCAGATCTTTCTCATCTGGTAGATGATGATCATCAGGATGATCATCAGGGTGAACAATACAGTAATTTAGCTGAGCACGAAAATCATGAGAAAGAGGATACTGATGAAACTGAATACCCAGACCATAAAACACATGAGTCTAGACCAAATCTAAAAGAACATTCATTTGCAGATAACAGTAAATTTCACAATAGAGATCAAGATGATGACTCTGCAGATTCAACTGAGGATCAAAAAGAAAACTTTGACTCAAAATATAATAAAATAAACAGTGACGATGAACAAAATGAATTTGATAATGAAAACAAAATATCTCGTGAGTTTGGAAATGAAGCACACAATCATGGAAGGCAGAATCAACATGTTTTACTTCACAAATCTAAAGAAGAACCACATGATCATGATGATGCTTATGATATTAATGGTAAAATTCATAATCCTAATAAAAAAAATCACGCGCGTAGAGATGATTCGCTTGATCAGAATGATGATTTAAATGTTTGGAAAAATATTGTTCAAATGAACAGCAAGATAGAACCGTGAGTTGTGCTGCAGTTTTTTATTTAACAAGTTTTCAAATTTGTTAAAGTTTTAATTGTTGTCATTTTTTGTAAATTGTACTATTTATACTTTAGAAGTGAAGGTATGGAAACAACAGATAATACATTAGTAGATTCTGAAGAATCTGATGCAGCCGCTCTTACTCCAACAGATCCTAAAATTTTAGCTGGGTTTGGTGTCAATGATCAACGTTTTGGTGAAACATGGTTTGAAGGGCAAAAAAATATTGAACGTGGTAAGCATAACATCTTTTAACATAGGTGTGAATGACTTATTGATGATGAAATGAAAACAAGCTTTTTGCTCTATACTTGCTTTACTATTTAAGGAGAGTTGATGCCATGTTTTATTTTATAAAGTTGTTTGTTGGCATTTTAAAGTATACTGTTTGCTATTTATGTACCAAAATGTAAAGAATCCAATATTGTCAGAACTGCTCATACTCGTGTTTCTTTTTGTTTTTTGTTAGACCTAACCAACAGTATTTAGGTTATGATTTTTTGAAATTCCTTTAATAATAACTCTGCTGTTTCATTTCACTCAAAAATCTTTCAACTTTTATTTAAGATCAAAAGATAGTGTTTTGTATGTCTTTCACAAAATATTGTATTTTAAATGTCTTTCACAAAAATTGAAGACACTATAGTGTTTTGTTGGTTTATTCTGATTAGCCATAATGTTTACCGAATTTATTATCTTGGGTTTGTTTACCATAAAACTACCTACTTTTGATGTTAAATTTTCTACAAGAAGTCATAAATATTTTACTAAAATAATTTTTAAGTATTGAAAATCACCTCTTCAAGTTGTTAAGGAGCAATTAGCATTCGTTTTAGAAATATGACATGTTGATGAAAATTAGTTATTCTTTAGTATCTCCGGGAAACATATAATAAATTCCCTGCAGTGGCTAATATTTATTATGGTTTTATGACTAAATTTATTCCACTATCATATACTCCCTCCGTTCCAAGAGTTATTGAAAATAAATTGTTAACTTGTTTGTTTTTACTAAAAAATATATTTGATATTATTTTATTAATATGTTTTATTTATATTTTATTATATAATATAATATATATTTTACATAAAAAATAATTATTCTGATCATAATTATGATCAGAATAGCAATGGTCCAACCTATGCTTTGTCAAGATAAGGTGCAAATATTAAAGGAGATGTGTGCCAACTGTCAAAAAAATAGTGAGAAAATTCTGCGGTCATGGATGGTTTACTGAGAAGCTATACTGTTTTTGCTGTAGAGTTTGTTACTAATACAACAGAAAAAATATCCAAATTTGTCATTCGGTTTCAAAAGAGGTGGAGTCCAAAATTATATAATAATCATGAGTTATAAAAATCGGATTATCATAATAATAATATCATCATAATAATAATCATGAGATATCAGAATAATAAATGAGATATCAGATGAGATATCTAGTAAGTGACCGGGTCCCCGGCCCCGACTAAAAACAGATGTTTTTGCAGCCCCGGCTAAACAAACACAATTTGCAGGGGTTACTAGCCGGGGCTGGATTTTTGTTGTTGTTGTTTTTGTTGCTTTTTTTTTAAATTTCGTCAAGTTAAAATTTTTTCTGAAAGTTTAAGAAAATATAAAAAAAAGTCACAAAAATAATATATACAAATATAATATAATTCATTAATGTTTACAATGACAAATAAGAAATAAGACACTTTTTAATAATTTAAGTTTCTTCCTCTGATTCTGATGATTCTGTGTCCCAGACATCATAGTATTTTGAATTAGGTGGTGTAAAGTCTTCAGGGGCATCACATAAATATGTTGAATAAGAAAACCCTTAAATTATATTTTAAAAAAAGAAGTGTTTTAACATTCTGTGTTGTAAGTCTGATGCGATCTTTTTGTATTAACTTTGAAACCTTGAACTCCGTCTCACTTGTTGTTGAGCTTGAGCGTGAACATAAATAGACTTTTGCCAAGTTTGCTAGCACTGGCAACTCGCTTTTCATAAGACTCCTATATAATAATGGATCTTCTAAAATATCTATTCGCTTTTTCTTATTATTCTTTCCATTTAAATAAATTTTTTCTTATTATTCTTTACCAAATATTTACCCTAATACCAAAAACAACTCCTATGAAAACCCTTTTGAGGGGTGTTAGTACATATCATAGGGATCTCATAACAAGTAATTTTGAAATCAGGGATTACCGTTCGCAAGACTTATTTGACTTTATTAGTTTTATATTAATGAAGCGCTGTGACTTTTACTGAAAAATCTTTCTGACACAAGTTTACACAACTTTTCTAAATATAACAAGTATCAAAAGGTTAAGAAAGTGCTACTTGATGGTATTTTATGTATTTTAAAACACCAGTGTGATTTTTTAAAACTCTTATCACCAAAATAATGTCAACAAAATTAAGGCGATTGTTTTCCGGGAATGGGCTGCATAAATATCGTAGTTTTGAAGAAAAATTCATAGAATGTGCATCAAAAATGCCCAATTCAGCAAAAACCCATGAGGATTGTCGAAAATCTGTGTGCATTATCTGGATGAAGAAAGGAGACCAAGTTCTGACAGACTTTTTAAAGCAAAGGATTCAGCGCCTCATCAAGCATGATCTGAGCTTCAATGACTGCAGAGTTCCTCTTGCCTCATGTCAGACATGTCGTTTTAAACTGAAAAAGCTTGAAGATGGGGATCCTAAGACGTGTAAACCAAGATTGTACAGGTTTGAAGACATCCAAATAAAACCGGCAACTCGAAGTTCAAACACCTGTGATTGTTTGATCTGCCAAATTGGGAGGCTCAAAGGTAAAGAAACTCACCCACTTGAGCAAAAAGACCAGCCTGCAACAACCAGTCAGCTACCTAAAAGTTCAGAAAAACGTTGTACAAAATGTTTGTCTGTTCTCTCACGAGGCCTTTCTCATCATTGCACAATTGGTTCACGCCATGAAAACATGAAGCAACTGGCATTGTCAGAGCTGAACAAGTTGCATCTTCCATTGTTGCATCCAAGGAAGCATCTCCTGGAGGAGCAATTCGACTTCAAGTCGTTCAACTTCGAGTCAATCAAGTGGGATGCATCTTCTATTCAGAAAAAGTAAAATGTATACTTACCACATTCTTCTTTAGAGAATGCTAATAGATTTAATTTTTTTAGGTGGTGTTGTTGCTCAAGAGCTTTTTTTTTCTAGACTTTCAACAGGGGATATGGTTCAAATTTAACAGAATACAGGATTGTCTAACAACGGAATGAGGAAACTTGGATTGTTCATCAATCATATCAGCCCAACAAGATTAGTTAAACCAAACTTTCAAAAAAAGTTTGCTGAGTCTGGACAAAAATTGCAAGACTTTTTTACTGTCAGCAGCTTGAAGATTTCGGATTCTGGAGAAAACAGGGTTGTGGTTCATTGCAAAAGCATTAAGGACTTGAAAGACAGGATTGAAGAAGAAATTGGCTCCTCAAAGGCTGCCTTCGCAAAGATAGGTATTGATAGAGGAGGGTCATTCTTAAAAGTGAGCATTGGAGTTATTGATGAGGAAGAAAACAACCTAGAGCCCCACAGTCCTGTCCAAAAATCTGCCAAACTCACGACACAAGTCTCAAAGCAAACTAATGTGAAAAATCAATTTCTTGTGGATGTTGCTGATGACACTCCTGAAAATTATTGGAATGTGCAAGAGATTTTTCAACTCGTCAAGCTTCAAGAACTAATCCCATCAGAAGCTGCAGTAATTTCTTGCGATATGAAACTTGCAAACATTATTTGTGGCATCCAGTCTCATGGCAGCAAGCACCCTTGCTGTTGGTGTGATATTGAGTCTTCAAAGCTTCTTCTGTGTGGGAATCCCCGATCCTTTGGAGCTATAAGAGCTCAACATCAAAGCTTTGTGGGTAGTGGTGGAGATGTAAGAAGATCCAAGGAGTTCCAAAATGCTGTCCACAGTCCTTTAATCTTTGGTCCTGATCAAGCACTGATTTTGGAGTTCATCCCACCTATGGAGCTTCATCTTCTGCTAGGGGTGGTCAACCATCTGTTCAAATGCTTAGTGCAAAAATGGCCAAAGGCCACAGAATGGCTAACTTCATTGCACATCAAGATTCAGCCTTTTCATGAAAGGTAACTTCAATGGCAATGACTGCATGAAGCTTCTGAGGAAAATTGACAAATTGGCTGAAATGGCTGAAAATGAGAGCACTTTTGAGCCATCTCAATTCATTCAGACATTCAAAGACTTTCACGAAGTTGTCTCTGCATGCTTTGGAAAAACTTTACATCCTAACTATGAGGAAATAATCACCATCTTCAAAAACAGTTACATGAGTTTGGGAATCTCTGTTACTCCAAAGGTTCAGACTGTTTTCCACCATGTGACACAGTTCATCAAGCTGAAAAAGAAAAGCCTTGGTCTATACAGTGAACAAGCCACTGAAGCACTGCATTTGGATTTTGGCAAGCATTGGGAGCAATACAAAAAATTGAACACCCATCCAGACTACTCCAGTCAACTCCTGAAGTGTGTCATTGATTATAACAGCAAGAAAATGTAGAGTAGCTTGCTATGAGGCACTGACCATTAATGAACATGTTGCATTTTTGAGAATTTATTAGTTTATCTATTTATTTTGTAATAAATAAATGTTTTAAGATGTATTTTTATCATTTTTTACCTTTTTACTTCATAATATGGTAATTTAGGGCAGCCAAATATTTTTGGAGGAATTTTGCAATTTTTCAGGTTTCGTAATTTAAAAGCAAAAACTTCAATGTTGAATAAGTCTTGCGGACGGTAATCCCGGATTTCAAAATTACTTGTTATGAGATCCCTATGATAGGTACTAACACCCCTCAAAAGGGTTTTCATAGGAGTTGTTTTTGGTATTAGGGTCCAAAATTTTCAAACTGTGCTAACGCATGAAACTTATAGTAGTAAACATTATGTAGTTATTTTACTTTATTTCATCAAACAAAAAAAAATTTTGTATCTACAAACTCATACAAGAAAGTTGTTAACAAAGAAGACTATAAAATGTTTTAATCTCAAAAACTTTTTGAGATTAAAACATTTTCTTCCTAGACAAATCAAGACTCTTAGTTTATGTATATATACTCTGTTGCATTTATCCCCAGATTAACAGTTGATAAAACATAAAAAAAAAAATAAGATACAGATTATATAAAATTGATATTTTGCAAAAGCTTTTTTTTTGCCAAAGTAAATTGACACGAGTGCAGAGGCAGGTGTCAGTTTACTTTGGCAAAAAAGGTACCTTTTTTTATGTATATGTGTGTGTATTTATATATAAATATATATATCATATATAATATATTATATATATATATATATATATATATATATATATATATATATATATATATATATATATATATATATATTTTTTGTATATATATATTTTTTGTATATTTTGTATATTTTGTATAATGTTTTTTGTATAATAATGTACAAAAAAAACTCTTGTTTGTTTAAAAGTGATCAATATTATAAAAACTAAGATTTTTATAATAGGTCTAATATAATTATTTAGTATTAAAATGAAAAAAATACAACTTTTTGTTGGTACTCAGAGTTTCATATCTGGCGGCAATTATCAGCCATATATATTTTTTTAAATCAAGAAATCAATAAACCGTTTAAAATACAAATTAAGCAATGCAATGGGATCTGACGTCAAAACGTCGACTACACGAAGGTTACCTTAAGCCTGTGTCGAATTGACAAAGAAGGAATTTATTTCTATGCCGACATTTTGATATAATTTCAGTCTTTTTATTTAATAAACTATTGTCATTATTTGAAATAATTTCATATTTTTCATTAAGGCATAATTTGCACGATTTTGTTATCAGGTTATATGCTTCACATCTTCTAATTATTTTCCAATTGATCACAGGATTTTTATCATTATCTTTTAAGTTCCAAACCTCCTTTGACAGCTCTGTATCGTTTCTATACTTGGGGATGTTAAACAATTTCAAATGGTTAGCAAATCTCAGTTTGAAAGATGTTTCACAAATACCAATGTATGATTTTTTTATTGAAGGGTTATCCGAAGTGATGGTTGCTTGGTATATAATGTTGTTGGTCAAGCAGTTATTGTTTAAAGGACAATTGTTTTTATTAAGGCAGTTGCAGTTATCTTTCTTAATAGTTAGATTTTTGATTAGGATGTGCTTGTTGTGTAAGTTTATTATTGATTTTATGTTTGGCATGCAACTGTAGCTGATTTTTACTGTGTTTTTGTTGAAAATTTTGTGTAGTCTGTTGTTAATTGGAAAATGTTTGACAATCAAGTTTAAAAAGCTTTTTTTCTATATTTGTGGTTATATTTATGCTATAGGGTGGGTTGTACCAGATTATTTTACGTGTACACTTTTTCTTTTGTTGTTGTTTTAAGTTAGGTCGGTAAGATAAATTATGTTTATAACCAGAGTTACGTAGTGCTTCATTATAAATAGGTACAGATTTTTTAAACACCTCTTCGCTGCTAGAATTTCAGGACAATCTGAGTTCAACATTTTGCGGTAGTTATTTTAGTATATTAGGAGGGTGGTTAGATTGAGCATGTATGTAGTATAAAGTATTATCAGGTTTGCAGTATGGTTGGTATGACTGGTTGCAGAGGTTAAGAGTTATGTCGAGGTAGTTCACAATTTTGAGGTTGCACTGTATAGATATTTTAAGATTGTTACATTTGAATAAGTGAGTGATATGCTTTTTAATTTTCTCCATTTGCTGACCAGTAGCATTTTTAAAAACTGCTAATCCGTCATCGCGGTATAAGCCTAAGTCATATTTACTATAAAAATGTGAAATTTGAAAAAGAATGAATATCCCAACAAACTCACATATCTCCGCACCATCAAACGCACCCATGGTAACGTCAAACAAACCGCCTGACTTTTTCATCCAAACCTGGCCATTATTAAACAGTAAAGATTTCCTTGCATGAATAATAATTGACTTTGGTTCTTACAGTGACATATTTTTCTGCAAAACTGATAGAATTGTTAAGGAGTTTTTCACTAATTGAAGGGTAGAAATCGTTGATATCAAAGATGAGGAATTTATAAAGGTGTTTATCTTTTATATTTTTAAACCAATTGATAACATCTTGAGTGCTTTTCCACTGATTAAGATGTAAAGTATTTCAGAGTTTAATTTTGAGAGAATGTCTTTACTAATTCTACCAATTTCATTTTTTGCCAGATTTACTAATCTAACTGTTGGATTGTTTGTAAAATTAGTTTTATAGTCTTTTAACGTTATGAAGCAGTTATAAGATGCATTAATGTCAATTTTGTTAAAAATAGCATGATTCTTTAAAAAATTTTTACCTTCTTTTTTTATTTTATCTTTTGTTTTTAAGTTAGCTAGTTTGTTGGTAGAAGTAATGGCGTTTATCAACAAGTGGTTATAACTGTCTTTTGATAAATTATACAGATTAGAAGTTTTATCAGCATAGGTATAAGTTAATTTAGATTTGCGGATGTTTGAAATATCACATTATAGTCTACTTTGAAAACTGTTGGTTATTTTGCGGAACTTGATGTGTTTTATTAGCTCTAATAAATCGTTTTCAAAAGCTAACATTTTGTTGATTTGCTTTGGACAGTGCGGTGTTTTTAACCCATAAGAACTATATTTAAAATCGTACTTACTTTGCGAACTACTATTTAGATAGAAAAAAGCTTTCCATCGCATTTTCTTGATCAAGGTTTCGCTTTTGCCTAATAATTGCATTTTATAGTCTTTAATTGATGGATTTGGAATATTCTTGACTGAATATTTCAAGTTTGTTTTCTCCATTTACGTATACGACTTAAGTAGAGTGCTCAACTTATGGAGCAAAATATTTTGTATATTTTGTATGTTTTTTGTATAATAATGTACAAAAAAACTCTTGTTCGTTTAAAGTATCAATATTATAAAAACAAAGATTTTTATAATAGATCTAATATAATTATTTAGTATTAAAATGAAAAAAATACAACTTTTTGTTGGTACTCAGAGTTTCATATCTGGCGGCAATTATCACCCATATATATTTTTTTAAATCAAGAAATCAATAAACCGTTTAAAATACAAATTAAGCAATGCAATGGGATCTGACGTCAAAACGTCGACTACACGAAGGTTACCTTAAGCCTGTGTCGAATTGACAAAGAAGGAATTTATTTCTATTCCGACATTTTGATATAATTTCAGTGTTTTTTATTTATTTATTTATAATTAAAACAATTGTTCTTTGCACAATAACTGCTTGACCAACAACATTGTATACCAAGCAACCATCACTTCGGATAACCCTTCAATAAAAAAATCATACATTGGTATTTGTGAAACATCTTTCAAACTGAGATATGCTAACCATTTGAAATTGTTTAACATCCCCAAGTATAGAAACGATACAGAGCTGTCAAAGGAGGTTTGGAACTTAAAAGATAATGATAAAAATCCTGTGATCAATTGGAAAATAATTAGAAGATGTGAAGCATATAACCTGACAACAAAATCGTGCAAATTGTGCCTTAATGAAAAATATGAAATTATTTCAAATAATGACAATAGTTTATTAAATAAAAAGACTGAAATTATATCAAAATGTCGGCATAGAAATAAATTCCTTCTTTGTCAATTCGACACAGGCTAAAGGTAACCTTCGTGTAGTCGATGCTTTGACGTCAGATCCCATTGCATTGCCTAATTTGTATTTTAAACGGTTTTTTGATTTCTTGATTTAATAAAATATATATGGCTGATGATTGCCGCCAGGCATGAAACTCTGAGTACCAACAAAAAGTTGTATTTTTTTCATTTTAATACCAAATAATTATATATATATATATATATATATATATATATATATATATATATATATATATATATATATATATATATATATATATATATATATATATATATATATATATATATATATATATATATATATATATATATATATATATATATATATATATATATATATATATATGTATATATATATATATATATATATATATATATATATATATAAATTTATTTAATTAAAGAGACATCTAAAGTTAAACATCATGATTTATCTACAAAAAAAAGTTTTAAAGACGAATATTCAGATGATATGAATGAGCTAGAATCTTATGTTAACACTAATAATGAAGAAAATGTTTATAATATCGGGAATCATAAACCAAAAAAAAGGCATCACGTGAGTTGATTTTTTTTTATTCTTCCTATGATTTTCAATAAAAAATTAAGGTAATTAATTGTTATTGTTAATAATAATAATAATAATAATAATAATCAATATTAGTAATTATTACTATTCGTTATTATTTTACTCATTTAACTAATGCATAGTTTTTTGTTTTTTTTACCTATTTTGTCTTCCTACGCAGAACTGTTTTGTTTTTATATAGTCTTTTTGACAACTTGAATATTGTTAAATACTTGGTATTTGTTTACGTTTGATTTATTTGTATTAGTTTGATTACTTGAATACCGTCTGATTACTTGCTATTTGAGTCTAATTTTATTGTTATAATTGTTATTACTGTTTTTACCCGCCAAAATTTGTCTCGGCTTTAAAACTTAATCTTGTGGTTTTATGTTTTTAAGAAAGGATTTTAAATTTCTGAGAGTATAGTTTATTATAATTATTAAAAAAACTCTTGTTTTGCTTTCCGTTTAGGGCAGAGAAAAATAACACAATCAGTAGTACGCACAACATACACTTACACCATACACACAAGCACTCCGGCTTCTGCGAAGTAAAGCAGTATTAAGAAGAGCGTTAGCTACTAACTATATATATATATATATATATATATATATATATATATATATATATATATATATATATATATATATATATATATATATATATATATATATATATATATATATATATATATTAATACATTACTTCCACAGTATATTGTCAGAAGAAAATTCTGCATATATTGTCATTCTCTAACTTAGAAGTAGTTCATACAACAAATCTGTGATCAGGCTTCAATTGTCTGTTTTCAACCTCAAATGTCATTAGTGATTGTTGCTTAACATGATCAAATATGGTTAAGATTTTGACTAAGAAAGTTAATTTATTTTTATTTAATTTTTATTTGGGTGAGTAAGCAATTACTGCACACAAGAAAAAACCACGAAACCAAATACTTTCGAAAATATTCATAAAACTTTTGTCCTAAAGCAAAGTAGTTTTATTCAATATTTTTAAAACTTGTATCATATTGATAACAAAAATTAAAGCATGTTGACAGAAAAAAAAAAACTTATTTTCGGAAAAAAATTTTAATATGAAAAATTAAATGTTTTTCTCTTGGATTTGTTGAATTTTATCTCTTTGAATTTTTCTTTTTTAGCAAAACTTCGCCATTGGTAATATTTTTTTTGTGTATGACACCAATATCTATTTTTGCACTAGAAAAAAAAGTTTACCCACTGGGTTACTTAACTTAAATTTATGATTTTTTTCATGTTTCTGGTAACTCATGACAATGTGTTTTTTCTATTTTAAATTTTTTTTTCCTGAAAACTTAAAATATTAATAAAGAATTAGTTTTATTCCGTTATACAGTTAATTCCCAATAACTCAAACCTCCAAGAGACCAAGGAAAATGGTTCGACTTAAAAAATGTTCTACTTAAGCGAATTCCCGTTGAGTCTGATGAGATAGTTCGAGTTAAGGCGATTTTTTCCTTATTTAACGCTAAAGAATACTCACCGACAACACGGGTTTAGAAGTGGAAGGGCACAATCGTCTATTTCTAAAAATAGTTTTCTATATCTTGATTTTTTTTTTTTTTTTTTTTTTGTCCTTTAGGAAAAGGGGCACATGTTTTCCCGTGTCGTCGGCCCTAGAATATACATTAAATTTACACCATTATATTAACGTTTCAATGAAAGAACGTAAATAACTTATTATGTGATGATAAAATTGCGTCTAAAAAGTAGCGGTCTTTTATTTAAAAAATAATTGTTTTTTTAAAGGTTTTATCGTGACCTTTTAACAGTTTTATAGCATTATTTTGCGTCTGATAACGATCTATTCAATTCTGATCTAAATACACCGCGAAAATAAAGAAGTATTTAGGCTACAATTATTTTTCATTATATGAAAAATAATTTTTTTTTCTTCAATTAAAAAAAAAAAATTAATTATGTCAATATCTTTAATTACCTTTGTTAGAAAATTTCCGGAAATTTTCAACCATAATATTTTGCGGAACAAGTATCAGAAACAAACAAATTAATAGTTTGTTTGTTCTGATACTTGTTCCGCAAATTATTAGAGTTGAAAATTTCCGGAAATTTTGCGACACTAGTTTGAGTTATTTGAAGAATTTTGCTGAAAGTATACGATAAAATAGTTCGACTTGACGAAGTTCGACTTAACTGGAGAATTTTAATAGTAATCGATTAGACTTTAAAGGACCAAATAAAACAGTTCGAATTAAACGTTGTTCGACTAGGAAATAACTATAACTTCAAAAATGCAAAAAATTGATCGTTTTACTTAGTTCTTAAGTTTGATAAATATTTTTTTATAAGAAATCTACTATACTACTATACTATATAGCCAAATATACCATCACGAAATATTAATACTAGCATAATATTCCGAGTAGCAAACAATAGTGGCGCAATGTTGTTTATATAGTTTTTATACTGTATACGATATTGCGTAAATATTATTTGCTTCTTCAGATAACTTCTTATAATTATACTTGAGGTGCTCTACTATGTAGCACCTATTTGTAATGCAAAATATCTACCAGTAGTTGTTTATTATATGGTCTTAAAAATTATGAGGGAAGGGAAATTTATTCATAGTGTTTAAAATATGTAAATGTATCCCTTACTTCTCTTAATTAGCATCTTTTTGTCAATTCGCTTCTAAATCGTCATTAAGAAATTGTATACTGGTTTTTACAGTTTTTAGTTTAAAAGTTTGTCGTTATATCGTTTAAAACAGTTATGAATCAGTTAAATATAATCGTCCACCTATATGTCAAATATCGTTTTTCATTCTATTTTTAGAAAACTCTCTAAAATTTTTAAATTTATCTGCTAAAATTTACACTCGTGTCCATCTTCACTTTAGATAATAGCTAACTTTACATATATGCGGTAAATGAGCAATACAACTATAATTTTGTCATATACTAATTTGCACTACTTGTAATATTTAGTTTTTGTAACAAAATTCATTTCTGAATGCATGTACACAGTGCCGGATCAAGGGGGGGGGGCTATAGCCCCGGGCCCCGCAGTTTTAGGCCCCCCCCCAAATTTTTTTTTAGTCATTTTTAGGCTTTGGCCCATAAAAAGGCCTCCAAAAACAAAAATAGCCCCGGGCCCCAAAAAGTCTTAATCCGCCACTGCAAGTACACAGGGTCATCCGTGTCTCGTGAAGAATATGACTTGGGTCTTTATGACTTGGGTCTTTTTACTTTTTGAAGTATTTTTTTTTAAGGTGGTAGACTGCTAAAAAAAATTATTTTTGTATTTTACAATATTTCAATAAATTTTTTTACTTCGAACATGATAAATACATTAGAAAATTCAAAATTTTTTTTTTTTTTTTTTTTTCATATATATTTTGAAAAAAAACAGGTGATTTTAGGCCAAAAACAGGCTAAAATCTTGGCAAAGATATCTCAAAAAGTATAATTTATTAAGTTCTAATTTTTTGTATTTTTATTTGTTTTATGTAGATAAATGACCTGAGATAAAAACTTTTGTTGAAAATTTCTTTATTTTAAAGCATCGTTAGATTTTTCAAAGCGCCCAATTAATAATCGAATTTCTGATATTAAGAACAAAAAGTTTGTTGTTTTAAAAGTTTATATTCTAAATTTTTTTTATCTTAGGATATAAAGCTTATTATAATGAATCTCTGTACAAAATTTTAAGTCAATTGGACAATTACAGCTCCTGCAATCTTTGCCAAAAAATTAGAAAAAAAAAACAGAGAAAAAAGCATATAAAATTAAAAATATTGAATATACAAACTTATTAAAATCTCCCTTTTTTATATACTGCTCTTCTTAATTTTTGTATTTTTTATCAAATCCTTTCCTAGTTGCTTTAAGATTTTTTCTTTGCTTTTTTTTTTTTTTTTTATTACTAACCTTAACTAGCGGTTGCTATGAGCGTTGCTAGGGGAAACAAAATTACCCTACTAATATAAATCACTTTTATTAGTTTTAAATTTTTTTTCTCATACGAAGATCTATATATTTTTAGACACTACATCAGTTACTATTTAAAACAATGCCACTTTTGAAAAATCGTTTTTTTCTAACTTTTTTAGCAGTCTACCACCTTAAATAAGCTCTGGTTTGAGCGCTTTTTTGTTGTTATTTTTTATATCGATCTTTTATAAACATATTTTAATATATTTAAATCAAAATGGAAAGCTCTTTAATGATTAGTCATAATTTTACTAATGCAGTCTTGGACGCAATCGTTACAGTTCTGGCTCAGAACCAAGAGATCTAAAGGTCGACACTTGCCCTAGCCCCATAAGCGACATTGGTAAAATAGAGGCGTGAACTTCCAAGTTAAATGGTCTAACACAGTGCTCTGTAATAAGACTGTAAAGACTTCTGGGAGTACCTTAATAACCACAACAACAACAAAAAAAGTTTCTCAAAATTTAAAATTGATTCACTGATAAATATTACTGGTTACATTATCCAAGAGTGCTTTCGAATGTATGGATATGTTAGTTTTTAATCATCAAGACCAACAAGTTCAAATGAGTTTTGACGTAAAGCTATATCATCATTTTTTTATTTTCTTATTCAAAAATGTCTTTTTTCATGGGGCTACAAATAGTAAATAATATGAAAAACATGCTATTTTGTCGAAATGCTCTGTTGCTACTATAAACTGTTTTATCTATAATTTAATTAAAAATCTCTCTGCAATTCAATACCTTAAAATCTTTGTAGTCATTACAATTTAACTTAAATCATTATCTCCATTATTGTTGTTTGCTTTATTGCTTCTATAAACATTTTTTGTTTTTTGCCCTAGTAAAGACAATATCAATAGCGTACCGTTATGGGTCTAAAAATAGAATTTTTTCCAGAAACGTAAGGCATTTTGGGATTGATATTTGGACAAACATTGCACAGAAACAAAAGAATTTCTTAAAAACGCTAGTGTTTGTGGGATTGA